TCCGGCGGAGACTGGGTCTGTCAGAGACGGTACGGCAGAAAACAAGAATGGCAGAGACCTTGTCGTTCAGAGAGCGGGTGTTACAGTGACGTTTCTGGTAGGGATAGGGTTTCCGCCAGACTCGGTCTCTGTCGGACAGTCTGAGCAACACCCAGTCTCTGGTAGTCTTGATCTCTGTTTCACACGGTCTATGCTGGACTCGTTCTCTGCCTCTCGCGTTCTGCAAAGGACCAGGTACTTGGAGGGACGCGCCGTCAGAGGCGGGTCATACAGAGTTCGCAGACCTGGTGATCCAGAGTCTGAGTCCTGCAGAGACGTGTGAGGCTCAGACCGAGTCAGGCGGAGACCGAGTCTCGCAGAGACCGAATATGGTAGTTTCAGGTAGGGAGTGTTTTGAAAAATATTCAAATTTTTCAAAATTTTCGAAAAATAACAAATGCTGGAAATTGCGCAAAAAGCGCACAAAACTAAAAAAATCGAAGAATTTCAACTCCAAAGAATGTGGACTTATAAGAGGCACCTTGATAGCCACTATAACAGACTAGTATGGTGGACCCATATTAGCCTTAACAGTAATCTGGTTTTGAGGCCCTATGTGTCATTTAAGATAGGGTATTGGAGAGGCCGATGGATAGGTTTGATAATAGGCAACAACATAGGATGGAGACCTCTATAATGCGTATGTAGAAATTTAGGTAATAAGATTCTCATTATAACAGGCTGGTATAAATGCCATCATTTATCCTTTACAATAGGCTGGAATAGAGATCCTAGATAGCTAATATAATAGGCTAGTATGGAGGAAAATTTTGTAACCTTTATAATAAGATGAAAAAGAGGGCCACTGAGTTCCCTTTATAACACACAAGAATGAAGTACAGTAGATGGCCATATTAATACACTGGTACGGAGGGTACTATGTAGCCTTTCTATTAAGTAGGTATGGTGGTGCTTTTGTATGTCGACTTTGATAGGCTGTTATAGATGACAGTATGTAGCTTTGTAACAACCACGGATGGAGGCTCCAAGATTTCCACTCTAACAGGCTAATATGGAGGCACTGGTCTTGCCATTACAACAGCGTACCATGAAGGCCAAAATGAGCCTCTAAAATAAGCAGGGGTGGAGGCCCATAGATAACCATTGTAACAGATACCTTCAGAAACAGACTGGAAGAAAGGCAGTAGTGAATAGTTGATGACTTCATGGTATTCTAAGAAATGAGAAAATGATGTCATGTATTTTTTTATAAAACATGACATTAGCTGTAGCAAATAAATTACTCAAATGTCAGCATAAAGGAGCATATGTTTAAATGATAACGCCGTTGATAAGGCAACTTCAAATGCCGTCATAACATGGTAAACCAAACGTACCGCAGTTGATAATAGACTTGGTGTACAGAAACATCTCAGAGGAGATTAGTGATGGATGTAAAGTATGTAGACATAAATGGTAAGTTAGCAAGCATATTTAAATATTGGGCTATGATTGAAGACTACAAAATGAAGCTTATCGTAACGCAATTTAAAGGAATATCATAACATTAAATTACAGTGCACTGCATACGATGTTCCATGTCATTTTACGAGGCTGCCATACTCGGTATGTCTATACGATATTAAAATAACTGCAATCAGGAATTCTCCAAAAGCACGATTTTATACCGAGTTACGAGAAAACTGGCTATTTCTTTCAAAACGGGCTGTAATTTTATCCGGACCTATGTTCATATTAATATTTTTATTGTTTTGGTGTATAGCACTTCATAATTCAATAGTATACCAAGCCCCAAATTTGTGTAAAATACGCTTTTTGTGTTGCTCATTCTCCACCTCGAACGTAAAAAATTATGGTGCCTACAGAATGACAGCCATAAGAAAACACAGCGTCCTTTCTGTACTTCATGCTGTCAAATATTTAAATAACAGAAATACAATCAAATAACAAAGGAAGCCACCTCACAAACGCGATGAGTGTAGACTCGCAGGTAGATACCAAATTTTCGGGGGGAAAAATACTGTTTCCATGTCCAGGGCTGAATGAGCAAGTTTTTAATTCGGTACAGCAGACGGTAGTGGAGCAACAAGGACTTGTTATTAATTCACTTCTGGCGTAGATTCCTACCGAATGTCTATAGATCAAGCCAACGAAAAGTTGGGACCCGCAGTGCTCAGGCACTTGAAGAACGGGTCGTTCCCAGTATCCCAGGTACAACATAGACAACCTTCGATGATGATTAGAATACATTCTTAACGGACATTTTTGGTTTCACTTTATTTTCTACGGTGTAGTATCCCGGAGGATTAAAAACTATTAAAATTCATATTGGTATCTCCGTGTTTACAGAATTATTGTTATTATCAACTACCTTTTCTGATTACATATGTATCATTGCCTCTTTTGCTAACTAGGCACCACGCCAGACTTGTGCGTATAGGGAAGTGAAAGGAGATTTTCAGTAAGAATTGCTGTTTCTAACCAGAAATCCGGAAAACTGCAAACCACGCAAAAATGAAATGTATGTTGTCATAATAGCAGAAACAGAACACACATGCACACTCTCATATACCGAACCTAAGGCCGGGCGCAAACGGAGCCACTAGCCACCGCCACTTGTGGTGCTACCTGTGGCTAAACATTACCACAAGTGGCCGCCACTTGTAGCTAAACACGACCACTAGTGGTCGCCACTTTATGCAGACATTTTCCCCAGCCGCGCGTCAGTAGCACAATGGACTCCGATATGGGAGCATTGGTCGCAATACTAATAATACGACAACGCCGACGTAAACGACGACAAAGACAGCGCCGTTTTTGGATACATCCAAAAGTGCAGCGAATACGGCCATTTTGCTACGCTTTTTGAGGAGCTAACGAGGCACGAAGATAATTTTTTTAAGTATTTTCGAATGAGTTTGACAACATTCAATGAATGATTGTCCTTGTTACAAGATCGTTTAAAACGCCAAGATACCATCATGAGAGAAAGCATACCTCCTGCAGAAAGACTTGCTATTACATTGAGGTAGTGGGTGGGGAGCTAGGAATGGTGGCGGACACGAGTGGCTGCGTTTGCGCTGGATAAACGGCGGTCGAACGCAGCCACAAGTAGCGAGATAAGGCCACTACGAACGCCGTGTCTGCGCTGAGGCTATTAAAACTGCATAC